TTTATTATTATAATTAAATGAATATTACTCTATCACATGTATTAAATTATAATAATTTTTTGATAGGGCAATTGAAAATCTTTTCCATCTGCGATATTTGAAAACATCCTTAACATTTAGTCCTGTTTAAGTCTAAAATTGCATTCATAATGGTCTTAATGTCTTAAATTTAATTTTGTGAAACCTGGAGAAACCCTGGTCTCTCTATGTTGTCAATATGAAAGGGATGAAAACAAAATTCACTCCCTGGTCTGAATATCTTCCATGATGTTATTTATTTAAAGATATTTAAATCATATATTTGTGTATATTATGTTTATTTGTTTATGTTGTGCTCAATGAGTCTTTGAAACCCTTGAGCTAAAATTTTTAAGGGATTTGCTTGAATTAGCTTAACTCTACTGAAAACTTCTAGTTCCCATCACTAAAAGACAAGCTATAAAACAATTTTTGTATATTAATTAGCATTTTTATAACCTGACAGACCCCTTATTTATGCCAAATTGCAATAAATAATAACCTTTCTTAATATTCAACCTAATTTTACTAATATTTTTGTTCTTTCAGCCTCTTAAAGCCGTCATCAAGCACACCGATGGAAGCTCAGAAACAATCGAGTTAAACCACACCTTTAACGAAACCCAGATTGAATGGTTCCAGGCTGGCTCCGCCCTCAACAGAATGAAAGAGATGCAGAAATGAACGTGATTGGCCATAAATATTCATATATGTGAGGGGGGAGGGGTTATGCATCAAACAGGAGCATTGGAATGTGTATGAAAGGTTTAAACACTCATGTAATTATGAACTAAAGTGTACACAATACATACAATACATTTTAAAACTGCGTTACATAGACAAGTCATGTCGATACACAAACATCTCAGATCTATATAATATATTGCAGGACTGATAATTGTTTAGAAATTGTTATGCTTAGAAAGTGCAAGTTTGAAACTATTACAGGATGGTGAAAAATAGCCTACAAATGATTTTAACGGAAGACGCCGGAGTTTGATTTACAAAATGATCCAAGTATCTGTGCTGTGATCAGACAACTGTTAATGATTCATTTCTGTTTGTAATCTCACACTGAACTGTAATGAGAGCTGCTTGTGAATTTTCTCTGCTGTAATCAGCCGATATTTGACTTGATTCTTTTAACAAAGCTTGTCAGTCACTCATAATAATTGGTGTACTTATTCACGCAAGCTTGAAACTTGACCGGTTATTGTTCATGTAGCTATTCTGACTTGTCTATGCCTGTTCTTCAAATCTTCTGCAGATCTCGTCATACACATCATCAAAATCAATCAATTGTTCCTGTGCTGAGCGCACCGCAGGTCAAGTTCTAAATGTTTTAAACCGAATTCATATTTATAAGCATTTGAAGCGATTCTCGAATGTGCATTATCTTAAGTGTTTTGGATGACAGTTCTTGAGTAATTGATCAGTAATCAAACCTTCAGCCTCGTGAGCACTTTTCCTGTATATTTGAGTGCCCTTTTTTGTAGGGTTGCATTTTTTTCTTCTTTTACACAGAGCTGTTCTCATGTCCGTCAGCAGACAATACCAACTTGTTTCAAGATACCAAACAGTATGTGCTCATCAGATGACTTTTACTGTAGTACGAATGCTAGCCAATATGGTAAATGTGAAGAATACTGTCTTTTTGTATCTGCAGCTCTAAACTGTGTAACTCGTAACCACACAAGCACATCCTCTTTATAACCCCATTATTTTCCATCTTTTTCTTCTTTTCTGTTCTTGAGGAAATGGATGCTGATCAGTCACAGTGGGTTATAAAATAAAGTCGTTTAAAATAGAGTCGTTGTTTGCTTCAGTACATTTTAAGCATAGGTTTATTATTTTTTTTTATTAAAGAGAAAATAAATAATGTTTATTAAAATATTTACTTTTAATAACCTTAAACATGAGTATTCCTGTAATCCCAATCACACATTTTCAATCATAACAAATGAATGTGTATATATATATATATATATATATATATATATATATATATATATATATATATATATGATCCATAACATTATAGTTTCAGCTAGCGGAATGATTTTTTTGGTGACAAATCTTTTCTTTGACAGATATTTTGAGAAAATGCTTTGAATTTTGAAAAAAACTCAACAGTATGTAATCTGGGCAAATTTGCTATTTCATTAAATTAGGGATGAAAACATCCAGTAAATTAAACTGCTGTAAAAATGCATCAGATAAACATGTTTTTTCAATTTTCTTTTGCATAAATCTGTTAATTAACCTCAGTTCAATGATTAATACTATTAAATTGCTTAGAAAATTACAGGATTTTAACTCCGTAATTGCCAAATACACAAATTATCTTTATGATTTGGTGAAAAAACACAAAAGGTGCATTTTTAATATAAAAAGAGATTGTGGACTGAATTTTTTTACCTTTATCAAAGTCTTGAACATGTGAAACAACATTGCTTTTGATGCGTTGTTTTTGATTGATTTGTATTTTTTTTCTCCCTAATTTACTGTTGGTGGCTGTTTTTACATTATTGACTTCCATTATAACCACATTTGTTTTATTGCTAAACCATGACACCATATAATAATGCAGTTTTGATTGTTGGAGGTTTCCCTGTTGGGGTTTGGGAAAAAGAGGTAAAATTTGTAATTGTACTGTCGATCATCAGTTGGCACTATTAACCCTTTAGATAGGCCTGTGCAAAAAAAAAAAGCTTTCTGGATTTTATATGAAGTATAACAGCAAATTACAGTTTTTCTCAGTCACTTTGGTGCATTTCTCACAACGTTATTTACATTTGCACAACAGTTCTTGCATTCAGTCATTTGAAATGGAGATTTGTGCACATCACAGTAGCTGTTTTTCATTCTTTCCAACAAATTTCAAATGCTTTTGGACATGCATCAATTGCTTTCATACAACTCTCTGCTGTTTATAACATTATCAATTGCTTATGTCATGTCAGTTAAAATTAACTAAACTTGTGAATGCTCGAATGAATGTCGAGTCGTTACATACAAAAATGTTTAACTAGTTGTCAAAATCTGTCAAGCTAATTTCATTAAACAATTGAAATTTTTTTTTTTTTCTGAAAATGTCTTCTATATTGAACAATTTCATGAATGCTTTGCAGACCTGTGTTTGTTGTTGGTTCAGTTTTATTATGTACTGCAATATTGTTTACAGTTGTGCACAGCTCTATCCAAAGGAGGTTTATGTTTGTTGTAAATAAGGGTGTATTTATTCTTTTGCACAATGCTGTGAATTAGAGTTGCAGAGAGCAAATGCAGTAAAAATGTGAAGCACACGTTTAGTGTCTTGTACTCAGATACCTCACTAATTGCAGTGATGTCTAAATTTACTGTAGTTTTCAAATGGCTGTGCAAATAGTATATAGTGCTGTCTTGAGCATTTTCAGGAAGTGTCACCAAAATCTGACTTTTTTGCATTGAAAAAAATGAACAAACTGTCATAATGAAAACATGACAAAGCCATCTGACTATCTTGTTCATAAACAATGCTGGCAAGACTTTTCATCTTGACAATGACACTTTCATTGACATCGATACTTGCTTTTGAGGAATGAGCGATCCATTTTGAGCAAGTGACACGCTTTTATCAACTAGGTTTTGCAGTTAGCTGTTGTGGAAATGTAAATAGTGTTGTGAGAAATGCACCAAAGCCACTGAGAAAAACTGTAAAGTGCGTGTCTGTGGGTGTTTGAGTGTGTGAGAGTGACCTTCGTCCACTTACCTTGATGTGTCTGAGAAAATGCATCTCAGCTCTCAGAACTACATGGAGTAAATTAAAACAAAGACTGTATTAATGCACCATCAAATGTGATTATACTGGAAGCCAAAGGGGCAAAAACAGCCACCCACAGTAAATTAGGGAGGAAAATTTAAAATCTAACAATTTATCAAAGGCAGTGTTGTTACTAATGGTTCACTGTTCACATGTCCAAGATCTGTGAGAAAAGGTTAAAAAAATCCAGTCAACAATTACTTTTTATATTGTTAATATTTTGTGTTTTTTTTTTCACCAAATCAATAACATCCTTTGTGAATTTGACAATTAAAGAGTTAAAATCCTGTAATTTTTGAAAACAGTAGTTTTGATCAGAAATGAGGTTGATTAGCAAATTTATGCAAAAATTGATCTGATGCATTTTCACAGCAGTTTAATTGACTGGATGTTTTCATCCTGAACATAACAAAAGGGTAGTGTATTTTAACAGTGCACAAATGTTAATGATATCACCCGACCTTTAATAAAACAAATATTTAAATTTTACTTAATAAACTTGATGAATCCAGTAAATTCAGTGAAGCTGAGTCTTTTCAATTGGTATATAGATTCTTCCCATAGGGGTGTGTGTCTGTATTATTTAAGACAATGACACATTGGTGCAGCAAATTTGGTTTTACATTAGATCTGTCAGAACAAATGGAAAAATTGGGACTATATTCTGACAACATAATTTAAATTGCATTACAAAATTGGTACCCCAAAAATTTCCATTACTTAAACGTAAAATTTAAGTTCATATAAATTATATTAAAGTATTTAAAAATATAAAGTAATTTTTAATTACATATTATTTCAAATGCCACTTTATTATGAATGAAACTGGACACAACAAGTCTGATTTAGGTTAAATTGCTTTGATGCTTGAAAACTCCTTTTTTATCACTACGTAATTATTTTTTCATATTTAAATGTAAACCACAGAATAAATGTTGTTATACTATCATTAAAAAACATGAGTACCACCAAGCCCTATATAAAGCATCACATCACGTCGGATGCGTCAAAACTAAAACGCGCACTACATTAGCGTTCTGATTGGTCGAGCGAACGATTACGTCAGGATTCTGTCGCTTGCACCATAGCGTCGTTGATTGTAATTGGAGCGTTTTGTTTTCTCGCGTCGCGTCGCGTCTCTCGCGTTCAGTTTTGGTGGGGTGTCCCTCCCTTTCCTCTCTTCCAGTAACCTCGTTTATTGTGTGCTACGTATGGGCCCCTTGAATCGAATATGTGGACCACGAATGATAGTATCCGGACATTTAATACTGGCGTCTGATGTAGCGATGTAAATCTATTTATCTCCGCAGCGCTCGTGATATCAACTGACAGATTGGTATCCAGTAACGTTATAACGTTCCGCACGGTAAGAATTTCATTATTATGTTCATGTCTGTATAGTATATTGTCGTGTACTGTGTAATATAAAACTGAGGACGGTTGTCAACAACCTACATTGTAGATTTCAGCTTGATAATATGGTACCAAAAACAAGCGTAACGTCACTCACAATTTGACCACAGTCCCGGTCCATTAGGCTGTTATTATTATGGAGTCTGCGGTACAGATGCCTGGCCTTTCTCAGACTGCAGGGCAGAAAGCCATGGTGCGATGCAAAACAATGAAAAGGAAGCACAGTTTGAAGGGGGGGGGAAACAGTCGACACAAGTCATAAAATCTGATGTGGTCCTGATGTTGCAGCTACTGCGCCCAGATTTGAGTGATGATGAACATTTCCAAGCAGCTGTTTAATATTTCATTAAGCAATAGTACAAATGTATAGCACAGATATTGTTTCTTTATTTCCTCTTTCAAAACACACAGGCTTCATCCCATCTCCATTGAACTTCACACCAATGGCTGATTCAGAAAGCACGTCAACGTCTGATGGAAAGCTGCACTGCCCACACACACCTCTCTCGCTTTCATTACCTTTCCTGAGGGAGGGCAGTGGTCTTCTGGAGAGGAAACCTCCTCAGACGGGGGAACCTCTGAGTCCACTGCCAACCAAACGCACACGCACATATTCAGCGTGAGTAGATTTACTGTACTGCTGACAGAGTACAAATATTTCTCAGGTCATATCATATGTCGGAATTTAATGTTGTCGCTGGATATTTTCTTGTTTTAACCAGTATTGAATTTTTCCTGATTTGTTCATTAATATTGGGGCTAGTGTTATGTGGCTATAAGATTGACCGTGTGACTGTTGAGACCTCATTACAGAAAAATTATGACATTATTGTTATTATTACTTAGTAATGATAAATACTGTATAATGTAGATTATGGCTGTAAAAGTAAAATGACAAGACAATTATTATATTATATTATATTATATTATATTATATTATATTATATTATAAGGAGATTTTTTATTTTAAAATGTTTACAGAGAGTAGAGTCCTATGGGATAGATAGACGAATGAATAGATAGATAGATAGATAGATAGATGATAGATAGATAGATAGATAGATAGATAGATAGATAGATAGATAGATAGATAGATAGATAGATAGATACAAAAACATTTAAATTACTATAGTATTTTTTGTGGGATATATATAATATGTGTATTTGTCAAATATTATTATAAATAATAAAATAAAGTAATAACAAATGTAATTATATGCAGGCAACTTTGTTAAACACGTAATTTAATGCACTATAAAGTGGGGTCTAAAATGGTATAAGGATACAACAGATTAAATGACAATCTACAGAGTATTATATTCAACACTATTACAAATAAAACACAATGTATTTTGGGTTTATTTTAATGAATGAATATAATTTCTTTCTCATTTGACTTTTACGAACAGAAATCAAAACTGATTCTTAAATGTCTCTGCTCTGGTGTTTTGTCAGATCGGTGAGAGCCAAATCTGGACCTGTTTACAAGGGCATTTGCAAGAACTTTTCAAGGTCTCAAGGTCATGGATTCATTCGGCCCTCCCATGGAGGAGAAGACATATTTGTCCACATCTCCGAGTAAGTGACAAGAAATTAAAAAACCTTTTAGTTTAGCATCTATAGGACATTTTTTATAATTAGACATTTTAAATTATGCAATGAAGCATTAGTGCAAATCTGGTTTATTGCTTTTACTAAGACAAATTGAAACTATCATGACAAAATAATATTAGGTTGTGTTGCAACAAATGGGTACCCAATAAAAAGATTTTAATACAAAATTAAATTTTTATATTTATATTTTATGTATATATTTTATACATACAAACTATACTAATAAATATTTTACACAAAAAAACAGATAGTTCCCAGTTGTTAGAGCAACAAACAATAACTTGATTTATAGTTGAATCGTTTGGAAAAGTGGCAGAAGATGGATTTTTCAGATAAATCATCTGTTGAACTGCATCCCAATCATTACAAATACTGCAGAAGACCTATTGGAAACCGCATAGACCCAAGATTCTCACTGAAATCAGTCAAGTTTGGCTAAGGTAAAATCATGGTTTGGGTTTACATTCAGTATGGGGTGTATGAGATATCTGCAGAGTGGATGGCAACATCAACAGCCTGAGGTATCAAGACATTTGTACTGCCCATTACACCATTACATTGCAAACCACAGAAGAGGGCAAATTCTTCAGAAGGTCAGCGCTCCTTCTCATACTTCAGCCTCCACATCAAAGTTTCTGAAAGCAAAGAAGGTCAGGATACTCCAGGATTGGCCAGCCAGTCACCAGACATAAAACTTGTTGAGCATGTCTGGGGTAAGATGAAAAAGAAGGCATTCAAGATGAATCCAAAGAATCTTGATGAACTCTAGGAGTCCTGCAAGAACACTTTGACACCATGACTTTATATTCTATACAGTACATTATTTAAGTGACAAGACTTTTGTCTCAGCAAAGTCAGATCTTACGGTTCTAATTAAATAAAAAAAAATCAAGGCATGATCATATTTTATTTTGGTAAATAAGTGTAATCTAGACACCTTTGCCTTTCATATAAGCCACTTCTGATACTAAATGATCAACTAGAAGTCAAGTTATTATTTGTTGTTCCTAAAACTTGGATAGGCGGCAAGACTTTTGTCAGGTAGTGTATGGTTCAAAAACTTTAATATATACCTGATGTGGACAAAGCAATTTTTTGAAAACACTTTTGACCCCTCTGTGAGTTCGATACCCAAAACACAATTGCAGCCAATCAGCAGTAAGGGGCGTGTCTGAAACTAAAGCATATATATATATATATATATATATATATATATATATATATATATATATATATATATATATACATACAGAAGTATAAAGGGGAAGAGACTTTTAGGATTATGACAAGTTTGTTTTGGTGTTTTCGAAGTGCACTTTTACAGATAACTACAATTCTGTTTTTTTTCCTAGTATTGAGGGTGAATATGTCCCCATGGAGGGGGATGAGGTGACCTACAAAGTGTGTCCTGTTCCTCCCAAAAACATAAAGTTTCAAGCAGTTGAAGTGGTCATCACCAACCTTTCTTCCGGACGGAAACACGAGACCTGGTCTGGGCAAGTGATCAGCTCGTAGCTCACACATTCAAGCCTAAAACACTAAAAAAACGAGCAGAGAGAGAGGGAAAAGGGATTGGTTTAACTTGAGGTGCTCATGCTGGTGTTGTGTGTACGTAGGATAGGGATGGAATAGCAATTAGGGTTATGCAACTGTTGTTTTCTCCATCCTGGCAGATATACATCAGAAAGATGGTAAGAGATCTGTTTGGGAAAATGCTTTGTGATTTAAGTCAGTCGAGATTTGATGCAGCATTGGCAGAACATAATATAACTGTGACACAAAAAGCAGCAGTGTTGCCCTTGTTTGTCATCTTGTCATTTGTATGTACTTAATCATGTATTTATTTTCATTTTATGTACAGAGGCAGTTGAGTTCATTGTGCTCATGTGTATGTTCAAGTCATCTATGTAAACTTGATTTCCTAAACTAAATGAATGCACATCAATATGAACTTCCATTTCTTTAATTGTAATTGATAGCACTGATGGTGTTTGTTTTCTGTAAGAGAGCTACAAATCCAAAAATCACAGTGATTAATTTTGTCAAGAACAATGCTTCTTACGATAATTCTAATAAAACTGAAATAACAGTCAACATTGTCGTTTTCTGTATTTTTTGTAAAGATGTTTTTAAAATGTGATAATTTGAATTTATTCTTCCACTTTCAGGTGTTCCAGGCAAGATTTTTTTTATTATTAAACAAAAGATGGAGGTGGCATAATGGCTCAGTGGTTAGCACTGTCACCTCACAGCAAGAAGGTCCTTGGTTCAAGTACCGGCTGGGTCAGTTGTCATTTTTGTGTGGAGTTTGCATGTTCTCTCTGCGCTCATGTGGGTGTCCTTTGGGTGCTCTGGTTTCCCCTACTGTCCAAAGACATATGCTATAGGTGGATTGGGCAAACAAAATTGGCCGTAGTGTATGAGAGTGTGTAGGAGCGTATGGGTGTTTCTCAGTGTTGGGTTGCGGCTGAAAGGGCATCAGCTGTGTAAAACATATGCTGGAATAGATTTTTCAAAACCAACCTTGATTATTATGAACATAAAAACACTATACACACATTATTCTTTCTGAATTTGGAGCTTGCTAAAGTCAACGAAGGAATTACAAAATGTGAAAGGAAAATATATATTTAATGTTACGTTTTGTAAATCAAATATTAATGTTATTAATGTGTATTATCAATGTAATATGATTTCAATATTTACTACCTAGCCAAATAGCGTTGCTGTTTTGATTTAAGTATGCAACAACTGAAGATTCTACTGGATCTTTACTGCAGTGTCATGTTTATGTCAAACAAGCTTTCTGGTGCATCACAGTCCATATAGTTAAAGTCCCTTTGTGTATTCTATAGTCTTTGATATAGTCAAATAGAGATACTCACAACGGACATATGGCATCTGGATATGGCATCTGGATATACTGTTCATATATATATGAAACAGTTTTGAATAATAACACAAATGATATAAAGTCATCTCTAAAAAATAATCTTTGTGTGCGTATTTAGGGACATTTATTCTTGAAAATATTAACTTAAGGTCTGTCTCAACCCGATAAAATCATACATCCAACTTAAATGATCATAAAATAATTAGGATTAAAATATGTGTGTTCACTAAGTTAAATAAATGCTTGAATTAAACATCTATTATGTAATGTTTTTATTATTTGTTAATTTAGTTATTAAAAAACATTGTGTCTGTCTCTATACATAATGATCAACTCTGTTACATCAATTAAATAAAGCCATAACAATCTTTAAAGCACTGAAAGAAGAAGCGTGTGACATGATTTAATAAAATACATTTATGTTTGAGACATGCCATGGGGTATATGGTTTGAAGTTAGCATCTTGTGCTAAAGTAGCCTACAAAATCGTGGAGAATGTCAACTCTGTAAGTCGTTTAACAATGATTAAAACAACAATTAGTAACAGAATCAAAGGTTTCCTATCGCATTTAAGCAATTTGCATTGTGTTACACAAAATGGTTGAAATTGCAATTTAATAAAGCATGCATAATACGACAATGTCCTGAAGTGTTTTCATCCTTCACCTTTAATTTTGAGACAGACCACGCCCTTCCCAATCAAAGATCTTTGTGCTCAGCACGTGTACCCAGAGCATTCAGTTCCTGAAGTGAAGAGGAAATAATACCGATATTTTCAGGTATGGTATGTTAATACAATTAATGTTACACTGTTTAACGAGTTTTACAGGCAAGCAAACTACTACTGTCTACTACTACTACTGTCAAGTATGAAACTAATTTTCTCATGATCAACATATAAGCCAATGTACGTGTGAGCAAATATCATACAGTTTTAGTTTGTGTTTTTATCTGAGTTCCATCAAATGAGGTATGTAGCATCTAGAACATTTCAGTGATTACTGTCTCTGTCTGGGACTATTTTTTTCTGTGGAAGCATGAAATTTGATGAAGTCCTTCAGCCGTGAGTGTTCATGATTCAGCAGAACTAAAGAAACAAATAATACTCAATTAGCCAAAGTCAAATACTTCAAAATTGTTTAGTTTCAATGTTACACTTTCACAAATGTGAAGGTAATATATCAAAACACAGCCATTCATTGTTTGGCTGTGGTGTAGCGCCATCTATTGGAAGTGACTTGAAACGAAGGGTGCGGTTTGTGTTTAGTGAGTGACGTGTGTATGACCACTAGATAGAGCACAGCACCAGGTAAACTAGAGATTGCACATATAAATTTATAAATAAATATATATATTTATATAAAAGGGCAGATATTTCGTAACGTGTGATGCATTCAGTCAACTCCAGTACATGTGAAACAGTTCAACCCTGAGAGTGGAAAACATTAAACCGCACGCAGTAAAAACATAAATTTTTATTTACACATTGACACTTTTATCATCCATTTTATATTGCTCTTTCAGCTCATAAACCAGAAATTGGTTATGGGACACTTCTACAAAAAACAATTACTTTTTTTTATCACTGTATATAATCAAACATTTATGTACGCACACGCCAGCTATAGGTAATTTCATTGCTTGAAATTATAAATCATATTAGCCTTGAGTCATTTGAACTTAAATTACAATAAACAGACTTAAAACAGCTTGTATAACATTAAAATGACGTTAGAAATACAACTGAAAAGGTTTAATAGGAAAGTAAGTTAACATAAAAACATGTTATCATAACTTATGGTTCATTTAATTTTTTACAGTGTGGTATGATCGAAAAACATGATTGAAAATGACTTATGGTGTCTGCTGACGTGTCTTGGCTCAGATTCAAGTAAGATTTACCTTTTTCTCAGAAGCTATAAATGAAACTGAACCATAAATATATGAACTGGCAAATCTTTTGTTTGATTGGGTAAATCATTACTGAGGGGAAGCACTAGGTAATATAAACGTGTTGGGAAGGAAATATCTAAGCACAACACAATAAGCATAGTTATAGTTTTTTAATTAAATTTTACAAGAGAATACAGATTGTAAAAGTTTTAACAGACAACCAACTAACAAAAAAAAAAAAGAACCAAAACATATACACTCACTGTCCACTTTATTAGATACACCTTTCCAACTGCTCATTAACACAAATTTCTTATCAGCCAATCCTATGGTAGCAACTCAATACATTTAGGCATGTGGACATGGTCAAGATGATCTGCTGCAGTTGAATCCGAGCATCAGAATGAGAAAGAAAGGTAATTTAAGTGACTTTGAACATGGTATGGTTGCTGGTGCCAGATGGGCTGGTTATTTCAGAAACTACTGATCTACTTGGATTTTCATGCACAACCATCACTGGGGTTTAAAGAAAATGGTCCCAAAAAATATATATATGTCCTGTGAGCGCGGTTCTGTGGGTGCAAATGCCTTGTTGATGTCAAAGGTGACAGGAGAATGGCCAGACTGATTCAAGCTGATTGAAAGGCAACAGTAATTGAATTAAGCACTTGTTACAACTGAGGTATGCAGAAGAGCATGTCTGAATGCACAACTCGTCCAACTTAGAAGCGGGTGGGCTACACCAGCAGAAGACCACACCGGGTAACACTCCGGTCAGCTAAGAACAGGAAATTGAGGCTACAATTCACACAGGGTCACCAAAACTGGACAATAGAAGATTGGAAAAACGTTGCCTGATCTGATGAGATTTGATTTCTGCTGCCACATTCGGATGATAGGGTCGGATAGTAGGGTCATGGCGTCAACAACATGAAAGCTTGGATCCATACTGCCTTGTAATAACAGTTCAGGCTGGTGCTGGTGTAATGGTGTGGGGGATATTTTCTTGGCATATTTTGGGCACGTTAGTACCAATTGAGCATCGTGTCAGCACCACAGCCTACCTGAGTATTGTTGCTGACCATGTCCATCTCTTTACGACCACAGTGCATTCATCTTCTGATGGCTACTTCTAGCAGGATAACGCACCATGTCATAAAGCGCAAATGAACTCAGACTGGTTTCTTGAACCTGGCAATGAGTTCACTGTCTTCAAATGGCCTCCACAGTCTCCAGAACTCAATTCAATAAAGCACGTTTGTGATCTGGCAGAAAGAGAGATTGGCATCATGGCTGTGAAGCCGACAAATCTGCAGTGACTGCATGATGCTAACATGTCAACATGTCAAAATCTCTGAGGAATATTTCCAGTAGCTTGATGAATTTATGCCACAAAGGATTAAAGCAGTTCTAAAGGCAATATGGGGTCCAACTCAGTAGTAGAACGGTGTACCTAATAAAGTGGCCGGTGAGTGTATATTGGTAGTATCACTGGGCACCAATAAAAATACACAAAAATGGTATTTATAAATAAAATATATAAAATTCAGTAAAACTTTAAATCAATACACTTATAATGCACTATTCAAATTTCAAAATAATATACTTATGCACAATAAATCATGTCATTAGATTAATTTATGTATTTTTCTCCTCTCACCTGACCTGGGAAAACAAACAGGACGTGCTTCATTTTGACGGCTTTTATGACGGATTCATTTATCACGGGACGATGGTTTTATGACTCGACCTTTGTCCTTCACTCCTCTTCTCACCATCCTAATCATGTACATTAGTGTTTAATAGATCCTGAGAGCTTCTGCTTTAGCTGCTTTGCCATAAATTTAATTACTTACTTATATAGAAATATATGTAAACAAGCTCCTTTATTGTGAACAGTAGGCTTAACTGATGACTTTGATTGTGAGCTGGCATTATGAGCCACCAGGACATAAAAAAGACTAAGATGCCTGTAAATGCTGTCTATATAGGCGGCTCAGTAGGTTTTGAGACACGACCACTGATCGTGTTGTTCATTAACACACTCAGGTGAGAGGAGAGCGATCAGTGTGAAAGTGCGTCTGTCTTTCTGTCTGCTCGAATACAACGACCAGCTTTTGCATTTTCAGGATATTTTCGAGATACACATGTCAAAAGTGCGGGATATAACTTAAGAACAAATAAAATGGACTGCAGACTGCTATTAACAAACACTTTGGAATGTAATTCAGTCTTGACCAAACGCTTTGCTGACTTTTGTCTTTTTGACATTTGAGCATGGATTATCGTATCTGGTTGTTTGTGTGTT